CACTCTTTCAGATACTTCTATCATCTAAACTCACTTTTTCTTGAGAGTGAAGAAGCTACGTCGCTTAGTCTCGGCTTGTGTGGGCGCGGGCAACGTATGCGCCCTGGACGTGCCTGCGCCCGATGAACCCTGCGCTGCTTGATACAGTCCCGATATCCATTCGTTCATTTCAGCGTCGTCTTTGGCCTGGAACAGGAAGTCAGATCCGCTCTGCGACCTGCAAAGTGTACCACGATTAGCAACAAAACTTGTATCCCATACAGAGGACTCTTGATCACAGTTGACCAAGGATAGCTACCCTAAACCATGAATTGCGCCCTGTACACCGTGTGGCGATTAATAGTACTAATCCGCATATATACATAATAACATAAATATATAAATTTGTACACAGGTATATATTTGTGGGATATAAAAGAGAGTGTCACACTCGGTATGTATATTGTATATTAATCGCGAAGCTAGTTTTCGTTATTCTTCTTGTTATCAATTATTCATTCTGAGTTGTTACTCTGAGTTGTCGTGTTGTGTTATCATAATCAAATCGTGTTCGTGTTATTATATTTAAAGCGTTGTAAAAGTGTTGTATTTAATTAAATTATATTCACATCAAACTTAACATCTCCTTATTAAATCCCACATATTTATGTTATTATGTATATATTTACATATACGTGTACTCTCAATTACGCAGATTATTACCATTAATCAGCACATATAGTCTGTATACGCGAGAAAATACTCTTGATCTCTACAAAATTCATTGTTTCGAGGGGGTCATTTCTGGCGACGGTGGTATCAGGCGGCAGTATATCAAGAGTCTATGGTACATTGTAATGCGGTGCAGCAACCACCAGGCTCCAGTCATTAGCTGTCCCCAGAACTTACTTCACTCGGAAGACATGTTTCCTCTTGGTATAATCGCTAGGCACGTTAATGGTGGCGCCCCTGAGATCGAAGGGAGTTTCACCCTTGTACAGTTGGTCAGGCGTGGCCTTGTACGACTTTTGATCCGTGTACACGTACAAGCTTTGCCCGCGTACGACCATGTACACCTTGTGCCAGGACCGATTCGACGCTTTCTTCGTCGTGCTCTCCCATTCGTGCTTTCGTTGCAGTACACCTTCGAATTCGTCGTCGGTGGGACTTCGTTGTTCTGTAAAATTGAAACGGTTACGTTGACGGAAAAACCGTGTTGGAGCAGTTGTTCGACAAATCTACCTTACGATAAGATACCCAGTGACCCGTTTCAGTGTACAGAGCACGATGTGTCCATCGTCAGAAATTATTAATCAAAAATTATTACCACAATGCGGTTCGAAGTAGACCCCAACATTCGCACATTCATGATAAACATATCAAATTAGTCAGATGCATGTAATGAACTTATATATTATTGTTAACATTGTAACTGTCTAGATCCTAGTTAGTCTACCATGCGCAATTGCACGCGTCCGCAGGTGATTAAACAGGTATAAGTGTATTGAAATTCTGAAAATAATAGAAGGATTAGCGATTCTCCAGCGGCAAAAGGATTTTTCTTCGTGGTACCCAACACCTAGAGAGACAAACAAACAATTCGTCGTTTTTTCGTTATGTGTCAATGTTTCACGATTATGTTAATTCCAGTCAATTTTTCATCTATCTTCTGCAGGACAGACGAAGCGGTGGGTGTTACGGTTCAAAGACCAAGGAGAAAAAAGAAGAAGAGACGGTCCCGTTGATCGATGTAGAATGTGTCTCTGTGTGTATGTGTGTGCTTACCGGAAATGCTGCGTTCATCGTCACTCACGCCACTGCGATCTAAACTCGGCGATTTGGCGGACTTTCTCCAACGGAAACTCCTGAACGGCGACTTGCTGCGACTACGTTCCTTACGTCTTAATGTACCAGACTCGGAACCGCTTCCACCTTTCGGAGCTTTCAACGATACACCGCAACACACACGTTTATTATTAGCTACTTACTTCGGCTGGTCTTTCGACATAATGTGCGCTATTTTTTCGGGAAACGGGGATGGATGGTTCACCGTTACCGTGTTTCAAGGTCATACAAGATCGTAACACTAAGCACGCATGCAACATGCTCATGCGAGAAACGTTAAAGTCTCTCCCACCGTCTAAGGGGGTCTAAGTACAAGAAGGGGCTACGCCAACAAATGTTGAGAAATGAGATTTTTATTGACTCTGGTAATCCCATGGTGTTTAGTTATTAATTTATAATTACGTGGCAAAATTCCTGTCTGTGATCGTACATATATACAGTAGTATATCCAGAATCCACTGTACTATAATGTACACTATTTTTCATAAAACCCTTAATATCTAACTACTCTTATGGCATAGTCCCCCAAAAAAAATTAAAAAAAAAAAAAAAAAAAAAAAAAAAAAAAATGTATCTGATATGATAAAAGGTTCCCAGTGGCGTTTAGTGATTTCCGTTCGTTGTTCAGCTTTTATTTCAAAAGACCCACAGCAACGTTCACGGCCCGTCGCGGGGTATCGTTTCAGAGGAGCTTCGGGAATAAATTGATTATGGCGACTCTGGGGCCGTATCACACCGAGAAAGACTCTGCGCAGAACCTCTGTTGCGGCGAAACGCCGCAAAAATCGGAGGTACCCGTGTCTCAGGTGGAGCCCACGCCACAGGTGGTACCCAAGATATTCAGTCCCGCGCCAGCTTGGTCCTCTACCGCGGTGATCGATTCGAAGCTGAAGAAACTGTCGTTGGACTCGTACGCAGGAAAGTATTTGATTATGCTCTTCTACCAGTACGACTTCAGCTTCGTTTGCCCGACCGAGATAATACAGTTCAGCGACCGTGTCGAGGAATTTCAAAAATCAGGTATCACTGGCAACCGATCCTATGGGGATCCTATTCGATGGAATTTAAGGTTAAACTTTACTTCCTCGGACCAAAAATTATTGACTTTTTTTTTTACCTTCTGATAGTATTCAACAATTTTCAAAAGTCAATCATTTTTGATCCGGGAAAGTAAAGTTCAGCCGAATTTAATGAATCCGTGTTATTCCGTTTGAACGCGATTAGGTTGCGAATTAGTTGCTGTGTCCACGGACTCGCAATACTCCCATTTAGCCTGGATTCTAACACCGCGTAAACAGGGTGGTCTGAGCGAGATGCGGATCCCAATGGTCTCCGACAAGAATCACGCGATATCGAGGTCGTACGGGGTTCTCGACGAGAACGAGGGTGTCTCAATGAAGGCACTTTTTGTGATCGATAAGAAACAATTTATCAGACACGTGTCGATCAGCGATCACTGCCTGGCCAGGTCCGTCGACGAGTCTCTGAGGATCGTTGAAGGTTGCCTGTTCGCGGATACATACGGAAACGTGTGCCCAATGGGTCCGAGGGAAGGAGGGCTTACTACGAAGAAAGCATCAGATGTGTTTAGCACCACGTGATGGCGAATACACCGTGAAACCGTTCAAAATAAAAAAAGAAAAGTAAAAGGTTCTCTGTACATGAGAGTTATACTTACAAGGAAAGGCATAGAAGTGTCGCCCTCCGATTTTGATGAAACTTCGTATGTCTGTCAAGTAATCAAAAATAAGGGATACATCTTTTTTTTTTATCGGTTGAGACGCGACTTTAAGGGGTGAAACCACCCCTCGAAGTTTCGATCCGAAATTTTTTTTGTTATAAACAAATTATATTTTGGACAATCTCCTTTGGTTTTCAAGATAGTACTTTCGGGTCGAAACTTCGAGAGGTGGTTTTATCCCTTAAAGTCGTGTCTCAGCCGATAAAAAAAATACGTATCCCTTATTTTTGACTGCTTAACAGACATACGAAGTTTCATCAAAATCGGAGGGGGACACTTCCGTTCTTACCCTTGTTAAATCGCAATGGATTCAGTATCGAAATTGTATCATTTGGAACACTTTTACCCTTTGTAATTTATCTCTTATTCGTTTTTCTTTTTTACTTCCCGACAAGAACCTCAAGTGGGGGTGATATTGGCGATGTGCATATTTTTAATTGTGAACTTTGTGAATGCTGATTCGATTTTTTGTACCATGAATAAAGAGAACAGTGTTTGTTCTTTCTTTTTTTATGTATGGACTTACTTGTCGGACTGGACAGAGCTTGCGCAGATTTCGTGGGCGAGGGGATGGCGGGTGGTGTTGCTTCTCCTCTCATGGATAGACGTGCAGGTTTCTGAGCATGCACTATATACCAGACACCGTTTTTAAACATGCTGTACTTTTGGAATTGAATACTGAGAGGTCGGGGGCGCATCATTTTTCTTTATGAAAGAGAAATGGTCAATGGAAATTTAGAGAGTTGTCTGATTGTAAATGGTGATACTAGTTTTCGATATTTGTAAGTAGATGTAAGCTAATGATACAGCTTAACGGGGTTAACTGATTGAGAAAAAGCTACAGATAAAGTTAGTAGTAAATGGAGGAGTTGCTTCGGAAGCATCTGCTGTTGCAGAAGATTCTGATTGTTATCATGCACAATGAAAAGCGTTTTTGAACATTTACAACACCTTAAATTTCTGTCTTTCACAATTTAGGCTTACCTTTCAATGAAAGATCTACTCAATCGGAGGAAACAATTTAAGTTCAATATCGTATAACATTTCATTACTGAACCGCATGCAAAGCTGAATTTTAATTCTCAGGTCCACCTTAATCGGCGAACTGAACAACGTCCAGTTTAGATAATTGTGTTGTATAGCAGCTAGAGCGACTCCATCACCTGCCATAAAGTGTCGATAAAAGCCAGTGAAACAATTACAAATTATAATTAATAGCGACAGCTGCTGTTGACCTACAAGTATGCTGAAAGAGGGAAAGTTATTGGTGATATTTATCGATCCACCCTTACTGTGCAAACCATTTTTTTTACCTATAAAGTGGAGACAGTTGTCTTTTAAAACAATCTGTTAATTCATGTTTATATATATATATATCATTTCCAAATCTCAAAATAGACTTGGCATTTAAAATTTTAAATCTTGATTCTAAATGAAACAATTCACGTGAGTGCACAGTTACGGTTGAATTGTATATTTGAAGAGAAAGATATAGAAGAATCTGCTCTAGTACGTTGCCGTGTGAAGAGATGCTTTAGCTGTATGCTCCATCACCAGCTTAAGGGATTAGTGTATCAGGATTTCTATACAAAATCTAATGTAACTCAACCATCAAATACCAGGGTCTCGTTTTATTTTATTTTTGAACAAGAAAACAAAGCGACCCGGAATGAACCAACAGCAACACATTGTTCCACGGGAATTGAATTTCTTCTAAATTCTAAGGCACTGGTATTTAACAGAACGATAGAATTAGTAAGAATAGCATAATTAGTACACAACGCAATACATTGTATTTCTATTATTATTTTTTCTACATCCTGAAAACAAAAAATTGTTCAACCCCTTAGACGCGATGATGCTTGACGAAATAAAGTAAACGTGAGTCACAAAAAATGCAGATTGATTGATATATTATACGTGTGCTAGATGATAATGGTGCGAGCGAAACCTTTCAGTTATTAACAACGAATGAAATGAATGTTTCAAAGCAAAAAATTTCAAAATGAAACGAATTCTGAGCGCATCAGGGGGGAGGGGGCGGCAAGATTTGTATCGTCAGGACACTCACCTTCCTTGGGCTTGTCTTGAGGCTGCGGTGTACGCGTGGAAGCCTTGCGATGTGCCACTGTAGTTTGTGCATTCCGTGCCGCATTTTAGGGTGCATTTCGGGGAGAACGGACACGGAAGGAGAGCAATCGGGGATGGGATCAATGTTGGTAACAGGGTTGGGGGTAGAAAGAGGCAAAAATAAACGTGCTGTTAGCAATTTCATGCTTATCCAAACAAACCAGTTTGTAAAACCAGTCGTCTATGAGTTAAGTGTAACAAGATACGTGGAAAGCAAAACCGTACGGTACACATTGTATTAGTAATACAAGAGAAACAAAATTTCGTTTGGAACATATGAAATGAAGATCTTGTAATATTATAATAAACGTCGAATAACAATAATAAGGAATGCACGACTTTTATGCGATTATTAGAATTCCTAACATCATTCAATAAGAAATAAAAACGATTCGACGTTTATTACATAGATAATTATTGTACTCATCTTCACGAACTGTGACCAAAACTGCCCACAAAAATGTAATCATTCAAAGATCTAACCGGTTTGGGCAAAGTATTGTTATTGAGATCGAATGCATTCTGATAGACGCAACACTCTTTATCAAACTGTTTTTCAATATATTGTATTAACACGTATGGTTATCTTACCGTGTGATTCGTCGTCTCCGGCTGCACGTTCCCCACTTTGTACACCTTCAGCTTCGGCTCTATTATAGAAAAATAGAACACATTTGTTATTTTTATTTCCTGTATCAATTAACGATATTATATAGGAAATGTTATATTTCATTTTTGGTGCCCAGTGCACAAGAATTTGATTACTGGTCAGGAATTTCTTTTAATCTACTGCTGTTGCATTCGCGAATTAACTATATTCGTAGGCTGAACCTTACTGCACTTTAAACGACAGAAACCACTGAAGTGTACCTTTCACTGGGCGGTTCATCCGGACTAGTTACTGGTGTTGCTTTAGCTAATCGTGCTGCCTCGGCTGCCGCCGCTTCCTCTTTCTTACGTTTCTCCTCTTCTTCAAATTCCTGTTGTCTCCTCGTTAATTCTTTCAATTCAAACTGCATCAGAACACACAATTCTGTATAAGAATCTACATTACAACGCGCAGAATACCCATTAATGTGGATTAATCACTAACCGTAGTGAGTCGATGCAAGGCAGTAAACCTTTCTTCTTGCGCAGCTGCCGACTTCTCGAAGGCTTCATGTTTCTTGATCAAGTTCTCGACCTCGTCGATTGTATGCTGTGACAATTACATTTAGAAATACTGTCTAATACATTGTAAAAGATTTCCAATTCTCAATTTAACCCGATACTCACTCCAAGTTCCTGGCTCATCAGATACGGTTCTTGAGCGATCAGCCACGCCTCAGCGACCGCTGCGTCTCTAGCGAACTGATAGACTTCCAAGACTAAAATTCACGAAGACATCACCCGATTATTTATACGATGTTTAACAACACCATGAATTGCTATTTTGCATTATTCCAAACACATACTGAGCTGCAAGTTCTCCCAACGTTCCTCCCATCGATGCAACAACGCGTTCCTATGATCGGTGAGCGCCGCCAGCTTCTCCTTGATCTGAGTACTGGCATAATGATTCCTAGCTAACAAATCCTTTCCAAGATTGATGCAAGCCATCAGATTGTCCTCCCGGGCATCTATCTCAGCCTTCAGACTCTGATGGTTGTTCATCAGTAATTCCACACCGGCAACGTCTCGAGGCTTCTCGGATGTGTTCATCTGACGTACAACGTCGTCCATCCAGATCATCAGAGTTCTGACCATGTTGAAGAACCGGAACAGATCACCGGTGTCCTCGAGTTTCGCTCTTCTCTCCTCGCACAAGGATTGAAGGTTATTCCACGAGGCTACCACCTCGCCCTCGCGGTTCGTTATCTCTCTGGCCTTGTCGCCGGCGTAACTGGCTTGTAACTTGGCCGATTCCTCTTGGATCTGCGACACCTGGCTTTGCAGGGTGGACAGATCTTGCATGAAATTGGCATGTTTCCGTTGCAGAGCGGAAACCGAGCCGGCATCGCGACCAAGCTCGTCGGACATCGCGTTCTGTTTCTCCAGAATTCTGCCAAGGACATCCTTGCAATCGTGGAAGAACTTGTGCAGTTCCCGGCTCGCCTGCAGCATCTGCGTACGCGTCTCGATTAACTCGAGCAAGTCCTGCCAGACTTCGTTCAGACCGTCTTTCCATTCGGCGATGGTCGCCGCGTCCGAATGCCCGGTGGCGATCAACGAGTCAGCGATTCCGTTCACTGCGGCCACCCTCTCGGAACCGATCGCCTCGGTGTCTCTGGCGAATTCCTTGAATCTCTCCCACAGCAGGGTGACGTGATCGTAATCCTGGCCGAGTTCGTGGCTTCCAGCGACTAGTTCTCTTTCGGCGATCCACTGCTCGAGATCGTCCACTTCTCGGTTCAACATGAACAGCTGGAGAGCCTCGTCCAACTTGGCTCGTCGTTCGCCAGCCAGATCCTTCAAGCCAGCGTACAGCTTGTCCACCTGTTGCAAACAAATGATATACTTTCTTTCTCTTTCTTCTCTTTGCTTTTCTAGATTTTTCCAGCATACTCTCTGTCTTTGCTTATGTCACTTTCTTTTCCTCAACTCTGCCTTCCTTGCCTACAGCATCCACCATCTTTTTTACCGACTTGCTTCATTCTCCCACCTTACTGTATAAACCTGACCTACTACTCCCTTTTACCGCCTATTTTTCTATCCCTTTATTTTCACTATTTTCCTACCTATTATACACTCTCTATCTACCTCTCCCTATACAATAAAAGTCAGTTCTCTCTGTCTTTACGATCCTTCCGTGCACACTCACACGCCACCTAACCATGTCCCCCTAAATGGTGTTTGTAATATTATTCATTAATGGAATTAACAAACGCTATTTACCTGTGATTGCTTAACAGCAATTTGATCAGCCAGAGGATGTTGATCGTTGATCAGCTGCCTGGCGGTCTCTCCAAGCTGGCGAATCGTGTCCGCGTAATCTTCAACCGCATGCTCCAACGTATCGTGTTTCTTCATCAAATTCTGAGCCGAGATTTCATCCTTGCCGCGGTCCTCCACCATCATGTACAATTCCTGCTCGCTCATCCAGGACTCGGCTTCGGTCGCATCGAAGAAGTACTGCTGAGCCTTCTCGTTCTGAAGCAGATGCTTGTTCCTGTCGTCCACCGCGTCCTTCAACTCCTTCCATTTCTCGGTTAGTTCGGATATCAGCTTCTGGAACTCGGGACTGTCCTCGTGTCCTTCGTCGATAAGCTTCTGACCGTTACTGCACACCAAGTTGATCCTGGGCTCGTGATTCTCGATCTCGGTGCGCAACGACTGGTTCTTCTTCTTCAGCATGTGCACGTTGAACAGGGAGTTACCGTATTCGTTGCTGGTCGCCTGTGGCATCTTCTCCGCGATCCAGAGTTTCTCGTCCTCCACGTCCCGTCTGAATTGGAACGCCTCCTTCTTCTTCTCCAGGTGATGCTGACGATCGATCAGTGGAGCCTTCAACTGCGCGAATCGCTGGGCCACCTTCTCCTTCTTGCACTTAATCTCCTCCATCTTGTCGTCCGGCACGGTACGTTGCAGGTGTTCCGCCTGTTTGTCCAGTTCAGTGACCTGTTTCGCCTTCACGGCCATCTGCGTCTCGATCATCTGTTGCTTCTGCATCAGAATGTTCACCGAGGCGAGATCCGATCCGGTGTCGGTGCTCTCGATCTGTTTCTCGAGCTCGTTCATCCAGGAATCGATGTCGTCGCAGGTCTGGTGTATCAGAACCTCTCTGTTCGCGTCGAACAGACGTTCGCCCTTGTCGTGAGTGGTTGTTTCGAGCTCCTCGAACTGATCGGCCAACTCGGCCACCTTCGGCTTGATGATCTCGGCCAGGTCGGGTTTCTGTTGGATCAGCTCCTCCGCGGCCTGTTGCAGTTGCTGCAGACGATCCTTGTTGCTGGCTATCTCCGCCTCGAAGGCTTGATGTCTGGTCCACTTGCTATGCACCGTTTTCGCGCTCCTGTACGTCTCGTCCTGCGCGGTGATATGTTTCTCCTGCACCCATTCGCCGAGCTCCTCGCAATCCTGCAGGAACATTTGCAGCTGCAACTGATCCTTGAGCCTCTCCATGCACTGATTCGCTTTCTCACGGTTGATCCGTCGACGATCGTTGATGCTCTCCGCCTTCTTCTTGACTTTGTCCGCCGCGAAGTGTCCCTCGTCGACAAGTCTGCCGGCGAACTGCACCACCGAATTGATCTTCTCGTCGTTCGCGTCCATTGTGGTCATGAACGCCTCGTGCCGTTTTATCATGTGCTCCGCCTGCTCGAAGTTCGCCGGCGTCTCGTCCTTTGCGAGAGTGTGCTCTTGCTGGGACAACAGCACCTCTGCCTGGCGAGCGTCGCGGTCGAACACCTGCAGGTTCAGCGAGTTCGACAACAGTAATTGCCTGTTCACCCACATCTGATGCAGCTCCTCCCAGCCCATTTTCAACGCGTTCAGGCGTTCCCTGAGGAACATGTACTGTGTGTCACCGTCGCCGGCCTCGCTTGTCAATCGTTCACCGTACTCCATCATCTTCTGATAATCGTCCGTGTAGTTGTCGATCTCCTCCTTGATGTTCTGATGCTGCGTAAGAAGTTTCTCCGCGTCCGCCAAGGTGGTCGGTGTGTCCTCGCTGGCGACATCGGTCTGCGTCTTGGTCAACCAGGCCTGGAAGTGATCGAGATCCCTCAAGAATCTGTGAAGATCACCGGCTTCCTCTAATTTCGCGTCGCGTTCCTTCAGCATCTGGGTCAGTTGCTCCCAGATAGCGTGTATCTGGGCGATCTTGTCTCGAATCACTGTTGGATCCTCCAAGTTCTGTTGTTGTATGTTCTGTGCCTCTAACTCCAACGCGTCCAATTTCGCCTGAATGGCCGCCAGGTCGCGTTCCATGCCGCTGAGGCGACGCTGAAGCGTCATGACACCGGTAAGATCCATCTCGAGGCTGTCGGTCTGCTGGAGGATTCGTTTCTTGTCTTCGATCCAGGAAACGGTTTCACGGCACTCGATATGGAAGGTTTGCACTCCATGAGCGGAATTCAACTCGTCCCGTTTGTTCTCCGCTTTGTCTCTCAGCTCGGCCCATTTCTGGTTCAGTTCGTTCTGTCTGGCGACTATCTGCTCGGAATTCGGATGTTCCACGTGCAACAGCTGCCTGGCTAATTGATTCACCACGGCGACACGAGACGCATTCGCGTACATCTCCTTCTCGAAACCGTTGTATCTGTGCTTCATGATTTCCACGTCTTCTATGTCCTTGGCCGGGACCATGGTGTCCAGCATCCTGTTCTTCTCGCCTATCCATTGTTCGACTCCGTCCGATTCGCTGAACAACTTGTAAAGCGACAGTGCGTCCAACAATCTCTGTTTACGCAGCATGGCCAGCTCCATCAACGCCTTGTATCTCGAGTCTATGGAGGCCAATCTCTCCAACACTTCCGGCGACTTGGCGTCCTGTTCGCCTAGAGTGGACGCCTGCTGATGAAGCTGATCGATAGTGGTCGCGTAGTTCTTCAGTTCGTCGGTGACATCTTTGTGTTTCTTCAACAGAGACTGAACGTTAGCCTCGTCCCTACCGACATCCTCCGACGAGACCAATCTCAAAGTATCCAACATCCAGATATCGATGTCATCGGCATCGGCGAACAACTGATGGTAGTCAACAGCCTCCTCCAAGCGTTTTCGTCTGAACGCAGCTAAATCCAACAGATGATTCCACATGCCGAGGATCTCTTGGAGTCTCTCTTTGATACGATCGGAACCGAAGTGCTGCTGTCGAACCAATTCATCGCCAACCGCGGCCACCGACATCAGCTGAGGTTCGTGAGATTGGATCTCGTTCTCCAAAGCTTTGTGCTTCGACAGCAGCAAGTTTACAGTGGTGAGATCATGGCCGATATCACCGGTGGACACTATCTGCTCCTTCTCCTTTATCCAATTCTCCTCGTCGGCCATATCCCAATAGAACTGCCAGAGTTTTCGCGATTCTTCGAGCCTGACTCTGCGTTTCACCGCCAGACCGACCAGTTCAGCGTAAGCGTCCTCGAGCTGTTTCACGCGTTCCACGATAATAGTAGGATCGCAAGGTCTGTAACCCTCTTCGGGTTCCAAGAATTTCTGACTTTGCTGAACAACAGCTTTCACTCGTTCGCCGAGCACGTTGATATCAGCCTCGACTAGAGAATGCTTCTGCAATAGATCCTCCACGCCCATCAAGTGTTTCCCGTAGTCGTCGATCAGAAGACGCATTTTGATCTCCTCCATGCTGTCCAGGATGTACAACATCTCCTGGAAGTTCTGTTGAAGCTGCAGCGACAGCTCCAGCCTCATTCGTCTAGCGCGCAACAGGTCCAAAAGGTAATACCACATTCTCAGGATGTTGCCCTTGCGAGCATTGATACGTTCTATATCGTGATAATTCTCGATCTTCAACTCTTGAGACACCGCCATCACAGCCTGGACTCTTTCCTCATAGGCAAAGATGTCGGTTTCGATAGCCTCGTGCTTCTTGGCTGCAGCTTCCACCGCGGCCAGGTCGAAACCAAAGTTGTCTTGAGAGACCAGTCGTTGATTCTCCGACAACCATGTCTCCCTCATGCTAGCCTTACGATTGAACCTCGCCGCCAATTGTTCCAGCTTCTCCTGGCGAATCAGTTCCTCGCGGAGAGCCAATTCCCTTTCGTGTTCGGCCTTCTCCAGTCTCTCCCAAGCTTTGTTAATATCCGATATCATCTTACCCTCTTTAGGTGTATACGGTTTTTGATTATTAGCCCTCATTTTCGACTGCAAGGTGAACAGAAGTACCTCCAGGTTGCCCTTCTCGACGAACTTCGGCGGTTTCTCGACGGTACGGTAATTCGAAAATTGGGAAAGTTGCGACTGAACGCCTACCAATGAATTAGCGAACATACGATCACCCAAAGCCTCTATGGTGCCCTCTATCCACCGCAATAAGTCACTGGTCAGGCTTTCGTACTCATGGATCATACGATCATTCTCCACGGCGATACCGACCACCTTGCCTATCCTCTTGCCCTGCACGGTTTCTTGCTTCATCTTTGAAAAATAATGGTAATATGTGACCACGTAAGTGATGATAGACTTCTCGTCCGGATGATCGACGAATATGTCCTCGGCGTCGAGGAGTTTGGTCAGTCCTAGCTTGTCCTCGGCTACGTTGAACGCATTGTTCAGATTGTAGATAGCGTTCGACTTGGAGAGCTTGTCGAATTGAATCAGATCTGGCCTGTGCTTGTGGATGATTGCGTTGAAGGCCAAACCGTCGCGCCACGAGGTGCTGAAGTTCCTCACGTTAACATTATGGTAACCGGCTGTCTTCATCTGACACCAGAGCAGCAACGCGTCTTTGGCCGATTTTGTCTCCTGATTGTCCGTCTCCTCGATGGTGATATCTTGGATCTGGAATCGAAGGATAATCGTCCAAATGAGACCCAAGCTCAGACGTGGATTTCCATCGACAATGTCGTGGGATCCCATGTTCTCCAGGTGAACCCTCTGCTCGCGCAGAAACTGCAACGCTTTGTCGACGTTCTCCAGACAATGGATTCGCATTTTTCCTTTCGTCGGTCGTGGTAAACGTTCCCCGGACAGAATCTCCAACAGCTTGATCAGCATCTTCCCGTCCCTGAGGTCGACGTACAGATCGCCGATACGGCACGAGCATCGCACCAAGTGTGAATTCACCCATTTTTGGAAAGTCTTCTTCTGTACCAATTCACGTTCGCCTGGTTTCACGGAGAAATCACGGAAATTTATTAGAGTTTGATTATCCTAAATAGCAATTTGCTAATGAAGGAGGGAAGAAGGATTTCTGTTTGAACCTGTAACGCGCAGACCCATAAATTGTTATTTCAAAATTGTGATATCGATATTGTGTGTTGCTGTATCTTGTTATTTTCGAACATTTTACTACTTTTACCTCTCAAATTTAAGACAATCTTATCGTAATCCGTGTCCGACTGATCACAGGTTATCAGGGAATTCCTATCGTTCATTTTCTTTTTTTTCGGATTCGTTCCTGAAGTTTTGCAATGAGACCAAGCGTTAAATTGTCCCGTGTTTAACAAACTACTAAGAACTTTCCTCGAATAACAGAGACTTTAAAGACCGTAATTATCGAAGTGATATCTGTATCAAAGGATGTGGTAATAGTACGATGCACGACATACATATAGTTTCTAAAGTAGCTAACAAAATTCCATTACATAAAATTTCCTCCTGCTTTGCAATCATTTCCGTATTATTCTCCCTCCGATTCGAAATAACAATGAGAGTTTCTAGGCGTTGGAAATGTTCTCAAGTAAATAGGACACTCTAGACTGCGGATTTTATGCATTTCTAACATACAAGGTTCTCTAAAATTCAGTATAGTTAAAAGAGGTTTCCATCTGATTTGGAACCTGGTAGAATAGTAAACAGAGTAAACGAACTTCTTTTTCACTCCAATTCTTTTAAACTAACCCATAAAACTCTATATACATAAACATCCGTAGTGATGAGAATTTACATCGCAAGAGAAGTCTACGAACCTTCTTCCAGAAGAAAGATTACATGAAAATATTTAATCTTTCATTGTAATTCTACAAATGTTCGTTTATACACACACGCTGTGCTCTACATGTTACACTAGGCTTCGTTAGAAGAAGAAAAAGTATTCATCCCTGATCCTAGACTTCTCTTGTCGCTGAAACAAAGGATGGACTAAAAAAAGAAAAGGGGACGTGTTCTGTACCAGCCAACGCCTTGATTCGTGAACGTTCGAAGAGTCTCGAGCTCGAGTTTCCCCCGTCGTATTCGTACTCATCGACAATCTCTTGTTGTAGCGTGGGGTCCCAACCCCCGCGCACCACCGAGATGTCGGTCGTCATTCTGTCAATCGGACCAACAACTCACTGCCTGGTCTTACCCTTCGAAAGGGCGCTCCTGAAAACAAGCACAATACAACATTAATTACAACAACAAAAACGAGTCCACCCACATTTGAGGTTTCAATTTAAACCGAACTCATAAAAATGACGTTGACTACTCAAAAACGAAGTGGATCAAATAAAAATTAGAAAAATTTCTATGAATTTCAAGAATTTCCACGATTTCGGCAGACGTACATATTGCAAATCTTGTCAGACATTGTGGCAAATATCGTCGAATCGAAGATTTTTGTACTGATTACAGTAAAGTCTCGATAACTGCGCGGAAGCTCTACGTTAAATACTTCTGCTTCGTCTAAATGCAGTCCACGAAGTGACAATATTCATTAAATGCAGACATCGTGTCCCTCTGCTCCAAAGCGATCCCGAGTTTCCAACATTAATCGAAGATTCACTATTTGCGAACACGGTAACGTTCCACGATGATGACACACACGTGAACAGACACAATTTCCGTCGGCGCGGTGTAAAAATAGCAAAGTGAATCTCCATTTTCCAAGGAAGACACTTTGCACTCGCCGCGTGTGGTGCTCGTCTAATTACTTTTTTTTCGCCTCTTCTCTGCAACACAATTAAGGTAACCGGCTCGCGTCGCAACCTTCGGGCGCTCGATATGAACTGCACAAGGTATATAATCTTATCTCTTCTCTTATGTATTCTCTCTCTCGCGTGTGTGTCTTACGTTCAACGTGAGATAACGGTCGCCATCGAACCGGTGAAGTTCATTTTTCTTCTTCTTTCACATGTAATTAAGCGCAATCGACGCTCGAAACGAAAGTGACGATTTCTGAATGGCCACGACAGCGTGACTAATTCGGGGATAATAAATTCTTGTTTTCTCTTCATGGAACATCCGAATAAAGAGACTCGATGAATTAACCAACCCATTGAGAAACCAGTAGATCGGGTATTGACGAATCTATATACATAGGGTGTCGTGGAAACAATCGCTGGTTGGCACGAAAACAGAACCAGCGGAATCGATCGAATAGATATCAGTATATCACTGCACGTTGGTACAGCCGAATATCATCACCAAAAATAAAAATCGTGTTATCACTGTGTTCAGCGTACGAGAGCCAAGAATCTGTCGACGAGTCTCGATCACGTAATTCCAATTCTGAATCTACTATAAAGCAGTCTGTTTACCGATCACGGCGATGATATCATTACCGGAGGCCATGTTTTATTCATTGCTGGATCGTTGGTGACTTCGTGAAAGATCTCGAAGAAGCTTGGCAAAAGCCTCCGAAGAGTGTTACAGGCTTTTGGACCGAAATGATGGTTTCTGAATCGATCATCTCGTTCGTTCTCTGTTCGTTCGATTAACAAAAAGTTTGTTCACAGAGACCTGAAAGCATTTGTTTTTTAATGGAACAAATGTGTTTCACGAATTCATCTGATTATCAACAGAGCGATTTCGGAGTAAACACCAATGACTCGGGAAAGCTTTCCTTCCACTGTCGATCTTCAGGGCGTTAGGCTGAACAACGGCTGTGCGGTGTTACGTCCTCGAAACGTGTGGGAGGTTTCTCGACGGCGCGCGATTACATCACGCGAATGATGTCACACGTGCGAAATATGCACCAATCGCGTGGCGGCGACGGGGACCGAACGAACCTCTCCACACACGCACGCACACACCGTGGGCTATTCGCTGATACCGGAATCAGGTAATTTCCTACGCTGTCGAGAAACTCTGCTCTTGGTACCAGACGAGAATACGAACCACCGTTTAGGCAGGATGTACAGCCCTACCAGAGTGGCACATAGAGTACGGAAATTTGGGTGGAACCGATCTCATTGGAGAGAACATCTAGAATTGGGCCAACTTGTGCAGACAGCAACCAACCCTTAATGATCTGAAGTGAAAAAATCTTTAATTTGTAGAGATTTTTAATGTAAAAAGAAGTAGTTTTATTTCTATTGGGTATATTTATTTCTCGTTGCTGTTTCACAGTATTTTTAAGGGCTCATTTAATAATGAGTAGTATTATTAATAATATTTTTAATTTTCTACAGTTAATTTTATTTTTATTTTTAATTTTTTATACCTTCGTGAGTGTTATAATTGTATAATATGAGTTGTTCTATGGGTTGATCAGTTTTTGCAAAATGAAGATCACAAAATTATGGGATTTGTACTGTGTTTAACTATTTCTTGTCATTTTGAGGGTTGGTAGCGACCAAATATATGATCAGTGGAATACAAACCGAACTATAAAATTACATCTTTCTCTACAATGTAGAAAACTTAGAAAAATTCATTTGTTTCATAATTCAAGTGACTTTTAAACTTTAATGCTTTTTTAGTCAACGTTCAGTAGCATACAGTGTCCAGTGAATTCTGAACGTGAGTGTGGTACTTACCACCTATATTGTGACTGAAAATATTTTCATGCATATACCCAAAAGTGTCCGTAGAATTGAATCGAACACACGTCACTGTCGAGGTAATTAGAGAATGATCAGCGGGAATGAGTTCATCGCCCATTAAGGACTGCCCCGGCGGATTTCTAGAATGCCCTGTTCGAGTTAGGTGCACGCTGCCCGAATGATTCTTACCGCCAGGCACCGTATACGAGCCAAGCTACCAGCGGCATGAATCATTTGGCGCCTGTACTCGAGGGCAGAATTCTTGAGGATAAATTTATATTGTATCGATATTTGGTTTCGATGTGTATATCGAAAACAAAATATCGATATTATCGGTTTGTCGATACTTGCGATTAAATTAGAAGTAACACAATACAAAAAATGAAAATAAATCATTTATTTAAGCAGATTTTCAGGTAACAGAGTGGAAAAGAAATTGAGCAATCGCAAACTTTATGGAGAAGCTCGCGATTGATTCGTTTTTTAAATGACCTGTTACGTTACGGCAAATGCAGCGATTGTACCAAAATATTGATATTTGAATTGAAAAGTGTATCGATATTCGAAATATCAATATTTGAATTGAAAGGTGTATTCAAAATATCGATACTATATCGCCCATCAATACATTGGGGATACGTTATCTGCTACTAACTGAAATCTATGGAATACATCTTCGCGGTGAACCTGTTGCAACTGCATTCGTTATTACTTAATTTTTCACAAAGGAACCTGGAAATCTTCGCGGTAGTCTAGACTTTTCTATGAACAAGCTGTTCCAGAATTCATAGGATTCCGAACGCGGACAGGAAGCATCTGTTCCCACGTCCCAGGTGGAGGGGAAGGGACAAAGAGCATCTTGTTTTGCATTTCGTTGCTTACCAGTGACTGGAATAAACCGTACATTGTTTCCTTGCTTACGAATAGGCTTCGTGGTTTGGAGTAACAGCCGACGCGCTCCCATTACTTCTGGATCAGCCTGTACAACTTCCTTACAGCAAGTCCGAGGAGATCCTGCCCGGTTAATTCAAGTTCAACGGAAAGCGCACGCCACGACCAGAGTCCAGTCCAGCCATCTCTCTCTGCCCGATTACATCGTGTCGTTCACTTTGTGATTCATTTCACCCCGCCCACACACGGTGCAAAGGCACATGTAATCTTCCCCCACTCTTTCGGTACTCTCCGGTTTCTCTCTCCCTCCCTGGCAATTCTCATTAAGTATGTCGCTGCTTACCGTGTAATTGCCCCTAATTCACGGTAAGTGTCTGCCAGACACTTGAAAAATTTCATTCATTCTCCTCCTCGGTGCTTTCATCTTCGAACTGTTCTTCCCCATCGAGCCTTCTCAAAGGAACGTTCTTCTGGCGAAACACACCTGTCTGTGATCGTAGGAAACGTGCAACACCATTCTCGAGTGTCTGTACCCGATATATCGCCAGGTTGGTATATAATAGCGGTCGGAACAACACTATAGTCTTCCAGAGGTGCGAGAAAAATTGAAGGACAAGTCGGGTATATACTCGATGATCAACGGGGGCCCACGATACATCGATAACTCACGTGTACGCGTGAAATTCGAAAGTACTCGAGGAGGGGGAGACATCCGTGACCCCGTTGAATCCTACTCCTCTACGGCAAAGGTTAACCCTTTAACGGTGTTTGACGAGTATACTTGTCATGAGGAAATGACCACTTTTTGGGTACCGACGAGTATAGTCGTGTAAAAACATCAAATAACCTTCTGCTTCCGAATTGAAATTTTCGTAAAAATTGAAAAATATATTTCTTTCGTTCGAATAAAGGAATCAAATATTGTAAGGTTTCCATGTATGTATGTGAACTTCGTCTATTTCCGAATTTTTTAAATTTGTATTAAAATATGTTATATTAAGGAATTTCGAGGGCGAGTGAAATGATTGGTTCTCTTTCAATTAATCTAACTATTTCCTATTTCGTTATGATTTAATTTAAATTTACTCGTTTGGGTAAATTCGATCCAAGCCACTATTCAATCAACCGTTGTTTACAAACTATCTGTTAAATTAAGTCGCAAAAACATCTGAGATGAACTTCGGACATTGTCGATTATATTTTCATGGTTAAATAAAAATTCTTCAAAGAATAAAAAAAACAAGATTCTAAGTGTTTTAATATACCTGAAATCACCTGAATAATGTTCCATCAGCTGAACAAATTTTCGATCCAACAACTAGCAACAGAATAATCTAAGCTGATCATGTTTCGTGGTCCACCCTGTATACACCCGGTTTCCCAGACCGATTTTTCATCCGTCGAGTAGGTATCGGTGTCGCCCTTACGCGGCTCGCTGGGTCTGGCGTAGGTATAATATCCTATTCTTTTTCGTCTACGTGGAGGTAGTGGCGGCCAGCGAAATGTCACCGTCAAGGAACGACGCCCGTATCCACTTACTGCGGTTTTCCTTGAGTTTTTGCTAGGTTACCCGCGCGAGTCCGCGCCGCCGCCGAGAGTGGACGTGCCGAGTTACACCGTTTCTGGTCGAAGAGGGCTGGAGGTTTAGGTCCACGTCGAGCAGTACAACTAGGATGTGTCTCCGTGGGGTTTGGTAACAGGTTATTACGAGATCAGATATTAACAGCG